TGGCAACTTTAACTGCTGGAAGATTATGTTCGCTACCTCCTGTAACGGAGGATAATCTAATGGGCGTGTTGTCCATGATTAAAAGTGCTTTCGATCATGTCGCAGAAGACTCCTTAGTTAGGTCTATGGTACACAGATGATATAATCCTGTTGGACGCTGATAAAATGCAGGGTCTTCTGAACGCACTCTATGAGCAGAAATTGGAATATGTTCGGCATGGGTTTGCCTGCTCCCCTATCAGATATAAGGCAATACTCTAAGATTGGTCTGCAACCACTTCTGGTCTAAGATTAAGGACTGAAGTGGTCAAGTTTGTCTTCACCAACTGGTGAAATATCTAACTGCCTGTTAAAGGATGAGTATACTATGCTATAGTCCATTCTGTTTTGTTATACAGCTGTGAGCCATACCAGTTTAAAGTATGAGAAGTGAAGTGGTTACAGGGTTTTGATCCTTGGTGAAATCATCATGTGAGTAGTGTTTAAGTCGGGCGAAGGGTGCCAGTTAAGACGGGCCTGCAAGTCTGACTGATGAGGTTGTGAACAGTTGAGATGAGTTGGATATGTACTGTACATACGGGTCACCCCCTACCTTGGTGTACTATGCTGAGCGACGTAAGGTTAGATTGGATAAAGGTTCAGGGGGATCAGACTTAGATTCGATATCATTCCATGAAGTCGTTAACTGTTGATGTTGGAAATGTAAATTAGCAGGTTGGGGTCCCCCCGAGGATTGTTGGCAAAATGTGTGGAAACTAGTCACTCTTTGATATCTTCTTAAGATTGACTAGCCTTAAAATACTTCAATCCTCATCTTAACGAGGCTATACCGAATCTCACCATTTTCTCATTCTCCCTTTCTCTCTTTTAGTACTTTATATTTCTTTCGACTGAATTCTCTTATCTTCATCTTGCACCTCACTGCCCCTTTTTACTTGATGTAGTGATATGAGGTGTGGCAACTCGGACCATTACGCAGTAATCCCTGGTCCTATGTTGATAGTAATGATGATGATGACACCAAGCTCGACTCCTCTGCTGGCTATTATGAATTAATAATATATAATCATCTTTATACCATCTAACCATGTTCTATTTATAATCTGTATTCTATTTATTATTAAGAGTGATCAACAACGTAATAATGAATCAATCTCTGAAGGACTTACTCCGTCTACTCCTACTCCTACTACAACAATCAGTGGTACTTATTTACGAACCTCAAAGGCAAGTTCATCAGCACTCAGTAATGTTGATGATGTTCAATCAATCGGTGTACGCTCCAATTCTTCATGGTCAACAGTACAAAGTCATCAAAACATTAAATCGACTTCATCACCTCCTTTATCTTCATTATCTAGTCAAAATATCTCTAAATCATCAATTGGAACTCGTTCTTCATCGAAACGTTTTGCAAATTTTTACACTGTAAGTATTAGATTAATTTTATTATTATTGTTACACATCACATATCAGCACAACAACTACTTTGGCATTGTGATGGTTCTCAGTTTGCATATCATTATTACCCGATAATTTATGTTGACTAGAATACAGCTTCCCTGCTGATAGATATGAATGGGAATGTGATGGGAGTAAGGTGTGATCAACAGTGTCATATTGACGCTACGTTTTCAACACAAAGAAGTGGGTCAAATAGTACTGGGTTGGAAGAATAACACTCTCTTTCCTCAGTGATGCTTTTGAAGTGAAGTGAAGTGAAGACAGGAGTAAGACAAGGCTGATGCCTACCATCACCCGTGATATTCCTGATTGAGGTGGAATGGATCATGCATCAAACCGGAAGGAGCGAGAAGAGGGGGATACGCTGGCTGGACAGGGGAAAAGATCCTAGAAGATTTGGATTTCGCCGATGACTTGTGTTTAATGTCACACAAACTCGAAGATCTACAGGCGAAATCAACAAGTTGACAGAAGAGGTGAGGCAGCGAAGACAGGACTTCAAGTGAGTGTAGAGGAGACAGAGGTGATGAAGATACCCAACTGACGCCACCACAAACAACAACAAGCTCTAATGACCATCAACGGGAGAAACTTAAAGGAAGTAGCCTCTTCCACTTACCTATCTAGGCAGGACTGTTTCAACTACAGGCGGCACAGGCACAGACAAGGACGTCAAAGTTAGCCAGGATTGGAAAAGCGAGATAGGCGTTCATTAACGTGAAACCAGTGTGGAGATGTTCCGCACTCAGAGTAAAGAACAAGATAGGGATTTTCAACACCACTGTCAAGTCGGTGCTGCTATATGGTTCAGAAAGTTGGCGTGTAACGAAAGACATTTCCAACAAACTACACACATTCATCAACAACTGCCGCCTACGCTGGCTCGTTACTGAAGCTCAGATGGCCAGAATAATAAGAATAAGCAACAAGGAACTGTGGCTGCCTGGCTGGCAACGAACCAACCAACAACCTATTGCTCAACAAATATGCAGAAGGAAGTGGAGATGGATTGGATTGGGCATACACTGAGAAGGCCGAATGGGACATCATGCGCCAGGCCAGGTTGTCGAGTGGAATCCAGATGAGAAACGACGAGTTGGGCGTCCCAGCTGAGGGTGACATGGAGGAGATGGTGTGAGGAAGAAATGAGAGCTTGTGGGCTGTAGTGGAGCCAGACTGAAAAGTTTGCAGAGAAGAGAGTGGAATGGAGACGTGCTAGTGAAGCCCTATGTTCCACTAGGAACCCAAGGGACAAATGAACTGAGTGACCGACATCTGTGTTCATCGATTAACTAATGAATATATTACATAACACTGGTTACAGCAGTAAGGCTTATTCCTGTACACTATTTCATTACGCTGAACTTCTCTCAATGAGAACATTTTGAATCATATGTGTCTTCATAGCATTGCTCATATTTGATGAAATCACCTTGTGAGCAATATTGAAGACCCTGCGAATGATACTAGGCAAGAGAGGCCAGTAAATCAATTGGCAAGGTTGTTAACCTCGGTCGATTAAGGTGGCCCACGCCAAGCCACCGTCAAACTCGTTGTAATATGCTAAAGGGAAAGTGGTGCACATTCATCTATAGGCAGATAATGAGCCACACTCCTACTGATTATGTGAAGGCTGGGCAAACCTCGGTTGACAGAGCGACATTTAACATTAAAACCCACTACTGGCTTAAGATAACCTCGCCTAGTTTACTAGTTAACTAGCCGGTCCTAAACCCGGATAAAGAGGGAAGGTTGGGCGTGGAGCAAACGACCCTACCCTGGACATCCAATCGCTATAGAACTTCAAAATACAGGAAACCTATTCTTCACTGGAATCTGGGAGACGAAATGACACCGGTTGATGAACGCCTTCGGGGAGCCGATTGGCCGATGCGTCTTCTCTCGATGAAAGCAAACGTAAGCATAGGGATATGGAATGTCTGCACAATGTTTGAAGCTGGCTGGCAAAGCTGGCCAGATCCCAAAAGAAATGAGAAGATTCACCGATGTTCTACCTGAATGTGGTCGACTGGACTGGACTGAATCATGCAACAAAATATGAGGAGCGAGAAGATGGGCATACGCTGTTTGACCGATGAAAAGACCCTAGGAGATTTGGGTTTCGCCAGTGATGATTCATGTCTGATGTTCCACTAACTCGAAGATCTAGAGGCGAAAACTAACAAGTTGACACAACAGATGAGGCGATGAAGATGGGACGTCCTTCAGGTGGACGTAGAGAAGACAGAGGTGATGAAGGTATCCAACCAACCAACAACAAGCACTAACCACTATGAACAGGCGGAATATAAAGAAGGTTGTCTCTCCCACCTACCCACCTACCTAGGCAGCATCGTTTCAACTACAGGCGGCACAGATGACAACGTCCGAGCCAGGATCGGGAAGACACTAAGACGGACCTTTATTAATCTGAAATAATCACTGTGGAGATCTACTGCACTGCACTCAGGATAAAGAACAAGATGAGGATTTTCAACACTAAGTCAGACAAGTCAGTGCTTGCTTCTATGTGATGGTTGGGAGACTTGACACGTTACGTTCCAACAAACTACAGACATACATCAACGACTGGCGCCTATGCTCACTCGATACTGAAGATGAGATGGCCAGAAAGAATAAGCAACAAGGAACTCTGGCTGGCAACAAACCAACCAAAAACCCATCACCCAACACATATGCAGAAGAAAGTGGAGATGGATTCAATTCGGCATACATTGCGAAAACGATTTGGGGATATCATGCGCCAGGCCAGGCCCTCTAGCGGAACCCAAATGGGAAACGGCCATTGAAGGTGGAAGACATGAGAAGGCTTCAAGTGTTTGACCACCGTTGTCTTCATAGTATAGGCCGTATTCCGTGGTGTCACCACTTGAGTAACGCAGAAGTCAGGAGTAGAGTTTTAGGGAGAAAAGGCAAGTCGGTTGACAAGGTTGTGAACCTTCATCGATTGAGATGGTAGGGACACGTACTGCGTATACCTAGTCACCGATTGCCTCGTCACACAATGTTGGTCAAAATAGGTCCAGGCTGGAAAAAGGCCCAAGGTGGCCAGAATAAAACATGGCACCAATGTATGAAGTCGCGGACTGTTGGTTTGAGGCATGTGGGACAATGCAGACTAGGTGGTTGGGGTCGGCGGGACAAGAAGAACCAGTGGCTGGAAACTAGAATGTATGGCTCAGATGTATACACACATTATCTCCATCTTAACACCACACCGATTCCACCATGTCGTCATTCTTCTTTTCTTTCTTCTCGTACTTTACATTTCTTTTAACTGAATTTTCTTATATTCATCTTTCACCTTACTACCTTTCTACTTGATGTGCTGGCATGGAGGAGATCATGTGAGGAAGAAATGAAAGCTTATAGGCAGTTGTGGACGCAGGTCAAAAAAACTTCAGCGAAGAGAGTGAAATGATGACGTGCTACTGAAGCCTTATATTCCACCAGGAACCCAAGGGGAAAAGAAATAATACATGTATGTATATACATAAGGGAAATATTCCACTTACACTGTATTCTACAGATGATATATAATTTGGTATAGATGTAAATGAACTGCTCAAACTGCTTTTCATCTTATCTATATCGATTGAATTGGATAATGGATGATTGTTGGTGTTATTTTCAACTTGATTCAACATTGATTTTGGCATTTCACTACTTGCTAAATGATTTGAAAGATGTAAATTCTTATCTAACTCATTTTTTTCTCCTTTTTCATGATCCAGATCACAGTAAGTGAATTTTACAGGTAAACATGACCAACTTGTACTGATATGTGGTGATTTAAATTCAATATTACTTTCATGTGTTGAATTCAATAGGTGTGTTTCACTCATTAGTTAATCACTTTATAAACACTAAAATAATATTTTATTACTATCCTTTTGTTTTTATTTGGATCCTAAAGAAGAACAATACATAAATATATTCAATTTAAAGATTTATGATAGATTTTTTCTTTATGTATTAATTTTCGATTGACATTCAATCATAGACTGATATTGGTTGAGAAAACTATTTAAAACTTGATATCACTAGAAACTAATTGTTTTATCTAAGCACAAGACTACTACTCAAGTTTTCTTAGGTTAGACTAGTGTGGATCGATTCTATTTGGATCCTTAGGCGGGTGGTTTGAAACGCAGGTATACTTACCGGTTGCCAACACTTGCTATATTCTTTTAACTTAAGGGGTGGCATTCAACTGAGTCGACCATGAGTTGTGGCAGTGTCTGACTGTGAAGAGAGTATGCAGCAAGTAGATGACGTTTATCAAAGCTCTCTACATCCCGAAGGTTATCTTGTTAACTTGGAGTACGCAGACGATATTGTCCTGCTAGGTGAAAAACCCTGACAAGATGCAGGGTCTCCTGAACGCGATAGGTAGAAATCTGAGTACATTCGGCGTATGTCTGACTGCTACCTGTCAAATGTAAGATGACGCTCAAGGACTCCTCCGTGGTTGGATGTGTTATCCACTTCACTTCCTTAGGGAGTTGCATCAGACAGGATAGGCTGGTTTCTGAAGAAATCTTAGCTCGAATACAGAAGGCTTGTTTGGCATTTGTTAGCTTGAATCATCTGTGGCGCAAACTGGCGAGATATCCGAATATCTATCAAAGAACGAGTATAATATGCTGCAGTGCGTTTTATCCTGTCATATGGCTGCAAAAAATGGTCGTTAAGAGTGGAAGACATAAAGTGGTTACAGAGTTTTGAGCATGAACGTTTTCGTGGCATTGCTTGCATGTGGTGGAACCACTGTGTGAGCAATGTACAAGTCAGACGAAGGATACTAGGCAAGACTGATGAGGTTGTGAAACTTCATCGACTGAGATGACTTGGACATGTACTACACATACCGATGCATCACCTACCTCGACGTGCAATGCTACGGGAAAGCTAGGTTGAAAAGGGGTTCAGGGTAACCAGATTAAGACACAGTACCATTCCATGAAGTTTCTAACAATTGGACAGAGTTGTGAGGGGCGGCATATTCTAAAGCTGGGATATGCGTGCTAACCTTTACCTTCAATTTTTTTATTCGCTAACACAACTTTGTCTACTGCGATTTGAGTCTTTCTCCATACAGTTGTTCTTCGTAAACTACTGTCAAGTATACCAACTTGTGGTGAAGTTTTACGTTAACTTTGTCAACCAGTTACCTGGAATCGGTTAATCAAGTTGCTAGGTTACTGTACAGCCGTTCTAAAGATCTCTAGATTGTTTAACGGATTTCGTTGACTCAAGATAGGCTTATGCACAATTTTGATAATAATAATAATAATAATAATAATAATAATAATAATAATAATTGCGATCTAATCTGGGGAAACTATTCCTAGTATTATCGTCTCACACTATTTTCAAATCCACAGGGATTTTTCATGTGACTCCATCTCATATAAAGGACGGAAATTTAGTCCATAAGTTTTCACTGGAGTATGCTTGGTAATTAGATCCACACACATCAGACTGTAGTAAAATCCTTATTTCGATTGTCTTAGCCGTGCAATTTACCTTCAACTAACTACACCGAACCTATTAAGTTATAGAACAGAGAACAAACACCTGACGATGCTCTATACGACACAATTTTTACGTGCTGTACTTTGAAGTCGATAAAATTTCAATTAAAATCTAACGTCATTGGTGCATTTTTCAACTGTGCTTCCCAAAACATTCTACGGAGGTTCTCACGTACATACGGTCATGTGACACAAACATGATGACCATCTGGATCACAGAACCACTTGATGGGACAACAAACCAGTAGTCAACGTCATCTTTCTACAACTGACCGAAAGCCTTCGCTATCATCCCACACTACACCATGCTCGCTAAACTTGCAAGTGTGTACAATTCAACCACTCAAGGCATAGTTTACAGTATATCCAGAAGACGGAATTCTTACCGTATTTGAGACCTATGTTAGACCACGCTTAGCGGCATCCGACACAATAGCTCCTCTCTACTAACCAGAGACGTGGATGATATCGAGAAGCTACAGAGAACGGTAGCAAGGCCGCCTGTCAGACTAACAGGCAAAATATATGCAGAATGCTTCAGAAAACTCAATTCCTTCACATAAAGCTGTCAAAATAAGAGAGGTAACCTGGTAACAGCAAACAACATAATTCACCAAGTGGGTAGCACAGAAACGTCAAGATTATCGGCCAAAAACCGACAGTCCCGTAGGAATCCCAATGGCATACCCCACCACAAGGCAAAGATGAGAGTGAGATCTAACTTCTTGTCACACAGAGTATCCATCTTATGGAACGCTATACCTAAGGAAGTAGCCACACCTACATCAATTGACTAATGGATGAATACGTGAGTGCAAATGGCTTACCACGAACACCTGTCAGCATCAACTGATGATGCGCTCTTCCAATCCTGTATTCCTCAACCCTAGCAACTGCAGTAAGACCCATTTCTTCTTCATATTATTACTAGTCACATCTGTCTTTCCATGAGTAGTTGTCACTCCTCTTTTTCTCATTCCACATTCACCCTATTTCTAGCACATTCTAAGTAACGCTTAATACTTACTTGTAGGTGCTTACAACAACAGGAGTTGCCAACGGTTGATTAATCTTATCAGCAGCTTCATCGACTTCCAACTAAACAAACCAAGCTACAATTTGAGAATAAAATACCTTCAACTAGATAATCGCTGCCTCCAAAGCTATAAGCAAGAAAAACGCAAAGACATCGGCGACCATCGAAGGAGTACAACCAAACAGAAAGAGCCAAGCCTCAAGACCTAGAAGTGAGAGCTTAAAAACTACCAGTTTCCTCTACTCGCATTATTGATGTTGGATGTTGAAAAAACCCTATGTACTTAGAATTTCAGTCCCTTATTCGAAACAAGAAACGATCGTCCTCTTATTTCCAATTTCATAGTCACTCAGTGGCTGCTCAGTTACAGCCAGATTCAATAGTCCCACTCTCTGAAAATACAAGATGTTTACACGCAAATGGGATAGACACCATAAAAATGATGAGTAAAACACGGGTCGATGAAGAAGGAAAGAGCTGCATCAAGTGTGGTATGAAAGGATTAGTTGTCTGAAAGCAAGGCTCAACATGTATAAATGATGGAAAGTGGTCAAAAACATGATTAATTTGGGGAGGAACAGTAGTTGATGATATTAACCAAACTACGTGCATCACAAGAATTGCAGAATATCACGATCCCATAGTCAACAGAAACAGGCTACTGAACAGGTGAACACTCTTCATCATCATCATCTATCATCTCACTTTCTTCTGTTATACAACCCCCTGTAAGTTCAACGTGAATGTGATTTAGCAGCTTCTAAACATCTGATAAAACGCGTTACGTTCGAAAAAGGCTACCTTGCAAGTTAGCATCATCATTCGCTAACAGATTTTTTTAAACCTACTGCAAAAAGAAATCGGGAAGGGTTCAAGCACTTCGCACTCACATACAACTCACCTGATGACACAAAGTAACGTCAACTTTAAGCAGCGCGCGACCAGATTCCAACAAGAGGTTTCAGTACTCAGTATTGTAGACCGAGTATAGCAAACTACTTATTTCGAAACAACACGTTGGGATTTACTCCCCTTGGATGGTTGGGAAATCTCTTCTTCTTGTCCGTGTACTCTGAGTAGTAACTATTTGTGAGTTGTGTGTTTAACAACTTCGAACACAAAGTCGAGAAAATTTGCGGATTTCAGCTATTGCTTCAACATCTAGAAACCCAGCTTTTATTGTTTCCTTATATGCACCTGGTTTTATAGCTAATCTTTGCCTCTTTGTGCTGACAGATTAGGAGGTAGTGATTGTCTGATTTAAAGCGTTTTTTCCTGCAAATTGTAGATAGGTTTGTTTATGGGGGTCATCATAGAACACGGCATAGAATGGCTCCACTTCATCGACTTTTGGAGAGACTTCAACAGCATCAACCAGGGAGTAATTTGGCAGTTGCTTAGGCACTATGGAATACCTCAAACCTCTATCAATCTCATTCAAAAACCATGTGATTTATGCTTGATGTCGCATCAACACAAAAATGTACACGCGAAAACCGACAAGCAGATAGAAGATGCAGGGCAGCGAAGACAGGACTTCAAGTGGACGTGGAGAAGACAGAGGTAATGAAGGTACCCAATCAACAACAAACACCAATCACCAACAACGGGAGAAACTTAAGGAAAGTAGCCTCTTTCACCTATCCAGGCAGCATCGTTTCGACTACAGGCGGCACAGGCACAGACGAGGAGGTCAAAGCCAAGATCGGAAAGACAGCAAGACAGGCGTTCATTAATCTGAAATAATCAGCGTGGAGGTCTACCGCACTCAGCACAAAGAACAACATCCGGATTTTCAACACTAATGTCAAATAGGTGATGCTGTGTGCTCCAGAAACTTGGCGCATCACGAAAAACATTTCCAACAAACTGCGGATATCCATTCGCAGCTGCCTACGCTCACTCGGTACTGAAGATCAGATGGCCACAAAGAATGAGTAATTAGGAACAGGGGCTGGCAACGAACCAACCAAGAACCCATCACCTAACAAATATGCAGAAGGAAGTGGAGATGGACTGGGTATGCACTGGGACGACCATTCAGGGACATCACGCGTCAGGCCAGTCCCTTGAGTGGAACTCTGATGGGAAACGACGCGTTGTGCATCTGAGGCGAGGGTGACATGAAGGAGATCGTGTGAGGAAGAAGTGAGGGCTTGTGGGCAGTCGTGGAGGCAGTCTGAAAAGATTGTAGAGAACAGAGTGGAATGTAGACGCGCTGCTGAGGCCCTATTTTCCACTAGGAACCCAAGTGAAAAAGTAGGATTAATAA